TAAATTGGTTTACATTTTCTCTGGAAGCTATATATAAAATCTGGTTATAAGGAGATGAAAATTGTGATAAAGTCTTTAACTGGTCTTTGAAAAATGATAAAAAAATTCATTAACTGGAAACAAAATGTAACAAATGTACATCAATTACAATAAACTCAAAGTCATAATTCAAAATTAATTGTAAATTCAAAAAGTCAGCCTCAGGCTTTAATGTACTTGAATAAATTACACTGTTAACTTGTCTATTTACTGAAAATCAAAACTACAACAGGATGTATTGTTGTTAATGTATTCTCAGTCATATATATAATGACTATGGACCTATAAACATGGTGAATCTTGTTTGTTCTGAGGTAGAAATCGATGAGGAAGGATAGCTCTATGTTGATAGATTATACGTAAGCTGTTATCAATGATAAATATGAGGGGACGTATACATGGGGAGATTTATATGTCTTATTTACTAGGCAGTTTTATGTTTACTCCATTGTCATTGTCCTCCAATGTTTATCCCTTGTAACAAATGATGTATATAACGACATCCCATATAATGTACAGAATATCTCATATGATGCAACATGACATCCAACATGACATGCTAAGATGTCTCAAAAGACATACAGCTGAGCTTATCATCATCAGTACTGTTTAAAGTTGTTTTGATTTCATTAAGTTCACTATATTCATTCTATGTATAATTTTATGTTTAAAAAAAATAACTGTTCAAAAAAAAAACCTGTTAAAAAAAAATACCTGTTAAAAAAATACCTGTTAAATAAAAAAAAATACCTGTTAAAAATAATACCTGTTAAAAAAAAAACCTGTTAAATAAAAAAAAACCTGTTAAAAAAATACCTGCCAAATAAAAAAAATACCTGTCAATATTGTTTTGGATTTTGGAAGTATTTAAACTTTTGTGTAGATTCCCTATAATTGAACTAGGAACATGTTTTTTTTCCTTGTATTACTCAATACCTCACGGACCAATCATTGAACTATGTAGAGATACTGAACCTGTGTTCTGTCATCAGATATCTCTTCCTACTACAGAAAGCTTGTTATCTTATTGTAGATAGCCATATCTATAAATAGAGAAAGCTGTTATACCTACAACAAGTTACTGAAGGTCACAGATCTCAATGTCATCCATAATACTACTTTTCCCTCTTTCTCAATGTCCTTTCTTCTTGTGATATTTCACGTCCTTTCTTATCTCTGTAATATTCCTTTCACCATTCCTCCTCCTTCACATTCCTCCTCCTCTCTCTTACTTTCTATCATTCCTCCTCTTCTCCTCTCTTATCCTCCTCTCTTCCACTCTTACTTTCTATCTTTCTCTTACTTTCTATCATTCCTCCTCCTCTTCCTCTCTTACTTTCTATCATTCTTCCTCCTCTTCCTCTCTTACTTTCTATCATTCCTCCTCTTCCTCTCTTCCTTTCTATCATTCCTCCTCCTCTTCCTCTCTTACTTTCTATCATTCCTCCTCTTCCTCTCTTCCTTTCTATTAATTCTCCTCCTTTTCCTCTCTTACTTTCTATCATTCCTCCTCCTTTTCCTCTCTTCCTTTCTATCATTCCTCCTCCTCTTCCTCTCTTACTTTCTATCATTCCTCCTCCTCTTCCTCTCTTACTTTCTATCATTCCTCCTCTTCTTCCTCTCTTACTTTCTATCATTCCTCCTCCTCTTCCACTCTTACTTTCTATCATTCCTCCTCCTCTTCATCTCTTACTTTCTAGCATTCCTCCTCTTCCTCTCTTACTTTCTATCATCTCTCCTCTTCTCTCTTATTTCTATCATTCCTCCTCTTCCTCTATTCCTTTCTATCATTCCTCCTCCTCTTCCTCTCTTACTTTCTATCATTCCTCCTCTTCCTCTCTTCCTTTCTATTAATTCTCCTCCTTTTCCTCTCTTACTTTCTATCATTCCTCCTCTTACCTCTCTTACTTTCCTTCCTCTCTTACTTTCTATCATTCTTTCTGTTTCTTCTTTTTCACTTTCTATATTGATTTTTCCTGCTCTTCATTTCTTAATCTCTGTAATTTCTCCTACGTACCTTCTCTTACTTTCTGTCACTCTTCTTGCGTTCTCCTCTTTCTATCAATTCTCTTATTCTCCTTCTTACTTTCTATCATTATTCCTGCTCTTTTTTTCTATTACTTTCTATCAATCTTCTTGCTTCTCTTTTTCTCTCTATCCTTACTTCTTTTCTACTTTATGTAATATCTTGTTTCTTTTTTTATATTCTATAACAACTCCTCCTCCTCCTCCTCCTCCTCCTCCTCCTCCTCCTCCTCCTCCTCCTCTATACATTTCACATCCTCCTCCTTTCTCCCCCTCCTTCTACATCTCATAGTTTTACTGATAAACTTTACAAAAAAAAGATATGAAAGTTCTATGAAAAGTACAGGAATCCATGGTTTAGGCTATAGGGAATAGATATAACGATTATGTACAGTTGCCCTTGCAAGATGGCATCATTACATATCTCTTGAAATTCAAATCTTTCTGGTTTCTAGAGTCAATGTATTTCTTGTAAAAAACCTTTGATTTCAATAGGTAATCAAGGTTTTATATCTATATTAAGTGTATGCAGTGATGTGTAACTGAAATATATCTTTATCTTACATGCTCTCAGTGTTCCTTCCTGATACCCGACCAGAACATTACAACAGACAGTGTCTGCTTGATGGCTTCCATGCCTTACATTGGGTGTGTGAAATCAAACTTTAAGGTGATAAGACATTCTATACACAGCTACAAACTAGTGCTTCACTTTGATTTTATCACAAACCTTTGAGTAGTGTTAATTGTCAATTTCAAAATTTTCATCCCCCACTGTTACATTTTAAAGTGTCATGTGACTTTATGATATCTATCATCAAGATACATCCATACTCTTATCTCGTCTCCTGATATTTATGAGAAACCCCTTATGATTGATAATGGAACCATCGATTGCATTGAAGGTTGAGTCAACCTTACTTTTACAGGGGGATGAATGCATGTTTTGCTGTCTGCTACCAAAGATGATGTCATGCGCATGATAACATGAAATTATTGAGGTCCCTAATGTTCGGTTCTGAAGTCCACATTTTTTATTTCAATGCATACCTGTTGAATAAATCTTTTTCGAAATAGGAGCCAATATTTTAAAGTTTTAAATACATTTCGCTAATGAGCATGTCTGATTGAATTTAATTGACGTTCAACATGCATGCCTTTACAACCTAATTCATTCTTCTTGAAATCAACGCCTTTGATCGTACAAAAAAAAATTAAGAAAATTGCAGAATTTTATTTTTGAAGACAGTTTGCTTTTGGCTGAAGGAAAGAAATATAACAATGCAATTTGCCCAACAGCCTTGAAAGTTCATGGAGTTATGTTCCACATGAATAGATAATGATATTTATTGGCCCGTAGATAACATGCCATTTTCGGTGACCAGTTAACAAATAACCCGGTAGAGATCCAAGAAAATGTAACAAAAGGTATGCATGTTCTGTTTTAACCCCTGTCTCAAGACGCCAACACCCCCACCCTTCCAAACCCCTCCAAATCCCTCATAACCAAACCTAATCCAACCCCCAATTAATTTCAATTTAATTCAATAAGCAGGCAACAAACAGGTCATTCTATTTCATCTGCTTGAAACAAAAATACACTGATGTTTCATTTCCTTTTCAAATCTGAACTGATGTTATGTTTTGAAAATTTTAGATGGTGAACACAGAATTATCAGAAAAAAGGAAATACAGGTATTTTAAAATTAATGGTGCAGCATTGTAAAGAAACAATTCCCAATTAAATGAACAGGTGTCAGCAATACAGCATGGCTGAATGAAATACACAGGCACTTACTTTACCAAACTACCTCCGGCCACAACTATAGATATCAGAACTGCAGCTTCACATAATAGGTTAAAGACATATAAAAAATGGTTCTCTGGCAGTGATAGATTGCTCTCAAATTAGAAATCTGTAACAACTAGGCATAACTCCCATAGCTCCCAGCAGGAGGGTTAATAATTTATAATTTAATTCATAACATAAGTCTTCTTCCTAGACACCAATAGGTTGGTTCTGGGGTCAGTTTTAGCACTGAGATGGGAGGGGGATAGTTTATGGGGAGGAGAGGCAGGTGAGCGCTAGGTTCCTCCTGTAGTTAGTCCTGCTGTTAAACACTGTAGAAGTCATTATCTGCCTACCACACACAACAATTAAACCTGCACTGCCAATAAAATGTGTTATAACTACTGTAAATTGTAAATCATATCGGAAGGCCGGCCAAAGCTATGCACAGCCTAATCAGGAAGGCGGACTGAAGCCATGCACTGGTTAATCAGAATCACAAGTGTAGCTCATCACAAACATTCCTAGACAATCTCTGGTTTGCATACACTTTGTTTTCAAGTGCAGGTCTCCTCCAATAAATTACGTTTAGGAAAAACCTAAGCAATTTGTTTTCTTCAGAAAAAGAAAAAAAATACACATCAGTTACAAGAAAACATTCCCCTATTAATATTCATAATTAAGGAATGGAAACTATTATCACATTACATTTTCCATTCATTACATTACATTTTTAATCACATAAAAATTTTACAATGTTTGCTGTGTTGGTATTTGGATTAAGTTAAGCAAACTTGCAGAAAAAAAACAACAAAAATAAGATTTGATCAACAACAGCACCAAGGATTTCATCTCTAACTAAGTGTAACTTTGATACAAAATATTGGCTTCACACTAACTTTAATTTACTTGCGCCTGATCAGGCAGCTGTTGATTATCTAAATTTTACAGCACCTACATGTATAAGATGAATGGCATTATCAAAACCCAATGCATGGAAAGAATCTTATTTGAAAGTTGAACATTATTAAAATAGAAACAACCAGGAACAGACAGAAAGATTGCTACAAGTTTCTTTTTTCATTGTAACAATTAACGAGAATTTACATTAATGTAAGGCTATCTCATCCCACACAATAATACTTACATTCCTCTTCTTGCTCCGAAAACCATGTATCCATGGTAACAGGAACATTTTCATTTTCGCTGTCACTGATAAAGACATTGTCGTCCTGAGCATCTATCTGACTTAAACATTCTGTTGACATTTTTTTTTTAATTTTCAGATTTTACAATCATCAAAAAAATCAATTTTAAGTGATGCTTTGAAAACAGAGTTCCATAGTTTCCATTTCATTGCAAACTGAATGTCATAACAGACAGATAATATCATTGAAAATTAAGTCATTTAATACTTCCAGCCACTCATCACAGGTCAAGTGGGATTTCACACCATCATAATAATATCACTTCAAAAATCAGCTTCTTCCATTTTGATTTTTAAATTCCTGGTCGAAATTTCAAAGACACTTCAACGAAGCTGCTGATTTCCCTTTCCACAAGCATGAATGAAATAAACAGCAGGATGAGATTTATCCCGATCTTTAGAAACCAGAGGGACATACCACATGGAATGGAAATGCTCGCCCACCCCCCTAAACACCTTCAAGTTATATAAACTGCAACACAACTTGTGCCGTATCTATTTTTCTGTGCAATCACTTCATCCAAAATCTGCTTCAACTATCAGGAAAAAACTACAAAATATGGCTCCTCCATGCCCGTTGATAAGGCTTAGACTAGGTAGCTTGTCTACAAGGTTTGTACACATGTGGAATGGGATCTGTACAGATATAATCTGTGTGGATACAGACAAGTCTCCCTCACCTCATCATTTCACTGATTACAACTTAATTACATATGCAAAGAACCCATTGATTATAGTAGAATTACACAGTTAAGAAAATAGATTACACAGTAGTTACACATATAGTCCATCTCATCAATTACATAATAATTAGAAACTCCAGCACATAGATTACACAGTAATCACACAAAATCCGCCACAGATTTTACAACAATTACATACATAGTCAATCTCACCAATTACACAGTAATTACACACATAGTCCACCACACAGATTACACAGTAATTACACACATAGTCCATCTCACCAATTACATAATAATTACACAGTCCACAACACAAATTATACAGTAACTACACACATAGTCCATCTCACCAATTACATACTAACTAGAAACTCCAGCACATAGATTACACAGTAATCACACAAAATCTGCCACGGATTTCACAACAATTACATACATAGTCAATCTCACCAATTACACAGTAATTACACAGTCCACCACATAGATTACACAGTAATTACACACAGTCCACCATACAGATTACACAGTAATAACACACATAATCCATCTCACCAATTACACAGTATTCACATATAGTCCACCACAGAGATTACACAGAAATTACACACAGTCCACCATACACAGTAATAACACACATAGTCCATCTCACCAATTACACAGTATTTACACACAGTCCACAACACAGATTACACAGTAATTAAATAAAGTCCATCTCACCAATTACAGAGTATTCACACATAGTCAACCATAGAGATTACACAGTAATTAAACACAGTCAACCATACAGATTATACAGTAATTACATACAGTCCATCTTACCAATTACACAGTAATTACACACAGTCCACCACAGATTACACAGTAATTACACACATAGTCCATCTCATCAATTACACAGTAATTACACAGTCCACAACACAGAATACATAGTAATTTCACATAGTCCACCTCACCAATTACACAGTAATTACACACAGTCCACCACACAGATCACACAGTAATTACACATAGTCCATCTCATCAATTACACAGTAATTAGACAGTCCAACACATAGATTACACAGTAATTACACACATATTCCATCTCACCAATGACAGAGTATTCACACATAGTCCACCACACAGATTACACAGTAATTAGAAACATCACAAATAGTTTAACACACATAATACACAGTAATTACACACAGTTCACCTTACCAATTACACAGTAATAACAAATTACATATAAAGTCAATCTTACCTATTACACAGTTGGTTACACAATCCTTGTCCTAGATTTCTACACACACACAGTCCACTTTACCAAATACATTCTAATTATATATTGTGTCATGAATTCAATACACAAGCACATACACAACATCCCCTTAATGTCAATTTTTAATAGCGAAGTGATTCTCAAGATATTCAATCATCCAGGACACACATACATCATAGGTAAAAATATTCACAAAGGGCAATAACTCTGCATATTTATCCTTCAGTAAGCTCAGAGGGAGGAGGATGAACAATGTATTATTCCTTAACCAAAACCAGAGTATGGGCTTATTACTGGATATTGAAATAATTGAACTGAACAGCAATATATAAGGGTGGCCTTATCACCAGGAATGTGCTCAATATGGGATAGATATGGTAATATAGAAAAGAGCAGTTGTTCTATTAAACAGGTCTTGTGTTCACTCAGTAAGAACATAAATTAATAACCGGAGACAACAATCTAGTTTTTACTGTAATACTCAAAATTGTAACATCTGATATTGGAGTTACATGCCCCATTAGTCAACAATGTTACTCTGTTACAGACTTTACTGGCTGGGTAGTCGGTAACCAGGGCCTCTGGTCAATCTGGTGCACTTTAGCAGGTAAATGTGGCTAGAGTTGTAGTCTGTGTTTATCAGTCCTGGCCAAGGAAAATATACCAGGAACCGAGAAATGTAAACAAACACAATTTTGTTTAATCCTCAAATCTAACCACTTGAGTAGGCACAAGACAGAATACATTTTATGTCAGGAGTAAGACTTGTACAAGTCCTTGTTTTTAATCTTTTTCTTCCATGAAACATATTCTCAAAAAGATAACTTTCTCTGATGATGTTTCTCGTAATTTCTTATCTGATAATCTAATTCATTCAAACTCAACTCTAGGATAGTTAAAAAAAAACTGTAATTGAAGATTTTATGTGTCGACTTTCATTCTGGTGCTGTCTGAGATCTGGAGCATTTGATATACAAAAAGGGACTTGTACAAGTCTACAGTTCTACAATCTGCAGTCTACAATACTGACATCCATACGACTATCACAGATAATTAGTTCAGTACCTAACACCTTGCCTCATCTGTACATACCACAGGCAACATATGGGCTCAACATAATAAATAGTATTGTCTGATTGAAGTCACCAGCATACATACAGGTATCTCTTGTACAGAAAATCCTGTTATCAAACCAACCCTTCTATGTTAATACAACAGGATCTGTCTTTAAAAAAAACTATCTTCATTGACTACCATTTTAGTGTGGCAATAAAAATGCCTATGCAATAATCTCTTCTCTTACTACACAAAAACCTGTCTTTAAAGAACCATCCCCGCTGCTAGATTTTTTTTTTTTTTTTAAACCTGTCTTGAGAGACCTCCCCTTTTGTTACTCTAATAGAAACTTTTTTCAGAGACCTTCCCCTCTGATACTGCTGTAGACCACCACTCAGTTCCAATAATAATTCTATCTTGAGAGGCCACCTCTCATCTTCTACAAAAGAACCTGTCTTAGAGACCAACTCTTATTTCCTAAACAGAACCTGTCTTATGAGACCACTTTTTCACTTACATTAATATACCTGTCAGGAAAGACCACTGCCTACAATGCTATATATATAGTCTTGGATAAAAGCTATTGTAAATAGGCAAAATGATTTTAAAACTAAAGAAATCAGCTAACATGTGATCAAAGTCTTCACCCTGACTTATCTACAGCAATCTTAAATTTATATTTAAATGGAGAAATACCTGTACTCATGAACTATTACTACATTGCATGGCGATACAAATATGCACAATATTTTATATTATATTTACTGATCAAATAGAAACAGATATTTCAGAGTGACATTGCTTTCCAAGTTTCAACTTTCATGTTAAAGGGCATTAAAGGTAGACGAGGCATAGTATAGTGAAATCTGGTTACCTAACAGACAATCATAGCCACACTCTCACACTTGACACGTTAAATCTTCAGAACGCCATGTAGTATTTTACCGCACCACTTAACTATGTCAAGTGCAAAAAACCTAAATTTTGGACATTTTTATGTATAATTACCACCTTCAAGTAATAGACTTATCAATAGTTTACCAAATATGGTCATTATTCATATATTTTGTAAATTGCTGACAGGTGCTCCCTGCAGTACTGGTAACACACACCTGTAATATATTTGTACCCGAGCCCCTACCACATGTACATACACCACCCTACACCATCCATCGTACCCAAGTAATTTCAGCATAATGTACCTACCCTTGTATTTCCTGCTGTACATGTAGCGTTCAATCCTATCCATGATTCAGTATCGTGTTACATCCGATCAGAATTATCCCATCTTATAAATCTTGTACAAACATCTAAATGTAAACTTATTCCTGAAATCCCATCTACACATACACACAAAACATCCAATTAAAATTCTCCAAAAGCAAAAAAAAAAAAAATTGTGCAAACACTTCACATGTAAGTATGAACCATTGTGAGAATTTATGAGTATTTTAACAGATTTCTATCATTTAGAGTTTGTGTGATTCAATTTGAAATTGATAAATGTATGTTGTGTTGCCCACTGGGGCATACATTATGGTGTCATCTGCCTGTTGAGCTCGAGGTTTTATTGCTAAACTAGGTGATTATACCCACTGTCAGCCACATGAAACTTGTGTGGTATTTCACATATAATATTCTGAACTACTTACCCACATACTTTCAGCCAAAGATCAATTGCCTAAAAGTAATTTGTCAGAAAGTGTTTGACCTTTGAAATGGATTGAATTTTCTAAATTAGAAAACATCTTCTTTATTGACAGAATCTCCCCTGAACAAATGCATTTGAATGTATCAGGGAATACAATACCTTGATAAGGTCATGCATCGGTAATTCAAAACGAAACGCAACATATGCATTTCTGAAAAGTAATGGAAGGGAGATAACTTCTTTGGTTATCAAAGCCTACAACTGATGATATTAAACCAAATCTGTGTCTATCTATAAAATACAGGTATACTACATTATGAATATAATAAGCATTGCGTTTTAAATCTCCAATACATATGATACTATGCTTATCGCTGTTGAT